CGCCCCCCAGCTTGGCACAGGGGGGCACCCAGGGCCACAGGGGGACACTGGGTGCCCCCCCAGACCCAGGAAGCACCAGTCACCAAGCTGGAGAGGTACGGGGGCCCCTCCCCATGCTCCCTGAAGGACCCAGAAGTGGACTGGAAGTGCTTCTGGTCCACTTCCAGGTCTGCTGCCAAGCACGCTGGGGACCCCCCTGAGGTCCTGTGGGATGCTCCATCCACTCCAGCATCACAGCTTTCATGAGCCACCTGGTACCTTGAGGTATGTAGAAAAAACATTTCAAGTTGTGTCTATGTCTGAGTTGCTGAATCTTTCTGAATATCTCCAAATCGATTTGGAGGGTTCTGGTTCGATTTGGAGAGATTAAAGGGTCCTCTGATTCAATTTGGATTCAGAGGTTCGGTCACCAAATGGGGCTGAATCTCTGCCAGATTGAATCAGGAGCTGAAGCTTTGCACAGCCCTGTTAACTACCAGTGTTGCCTTACTGTTACATCATGTGGAAGGGTTACCAGATAATGAACTTGATGGCTGATCTGTGTGTATTGTCAGTAATTCTTTTATTAAAAAAATAAGGTAAGACTGTTCATTTAGCTGCAGTGTGTGTGCATATGCAGAAACCCTACTTTTAAGCACAAGTTAACTACATCTGTTCTACATGTCAGTCAGCATAGTTATTCAAGTAAAGGTACACTGAGGCACTGTTATAGTACTGTGCTATCACCCTTAAAGTAGAATATTTTGGAATGATTGTCTGTAGCACACCAGGAGCTTTAACTATAGGATTAGGAATGTTAATTGGAAACTTGCTTTCCTGAGCTTCCCTGCTTCTGAAGCATCTATAAGGACATAATTCTTTAATGCCTGTGAAGTACTTTGGGGTCTTGGCATGGAGGTGCCAGAAAAGCAAAGCTTACTGGGTCAGTTTTTTGAGCATAACACATATAAAGTCATTGCAGAAGAAAGTAGCTACAAGTACTGACCACTTTAGACTTAGCTGAAAATAAAGGTCTTTGCATTCCTTCACCGCTTGTTTGCAAGAAATAAATTTTATGTGGGCATTCATCTCCCAGCAGGGAGCCACTATCACGTGACACTGTTCTATTTCTCTGGCCTTATCTCTTAATTAACTAATCTCTAATGCTCTTTATGTTTTTAAGTAATCATGCATCTGTCCTCATTTTACAATGACAAATTTAAGGGCAGTGATTTAAATTGGTAAAATTTCGGCAACTGAGTGTTGCTGGAATGCCCTATCTTTACTGTATCCTTCTAAGTTATCTTTGACAATTGGTTACGAAGAATGTGGTAGCTTGGGGAGCCTGATATAGCATTTCTTTGCTACTTGCTAAGATGCACCCACACAAAGAAGGAAACATTTGTCTGGTATTATAAGGTGACCAGAATGGTGTGTAATGCAAGAAGGCTAATCTCATAAATTGTATTAAGGTTACTTAGGAATTATTAGCTCTGAAGAAGCTGTTTATACTTTCTTCCTTGGAATGTTATATTCAATATTCTGTAGCTGTTCAAATAAAATATTGTCTTGGCTGTGTGAGCCACATTTTTTAAAACATATTAAACTATTTCTTGCATTTTTAACATTTCACATGGGCTAGCTTTCAGACTTGAAAGTCTGAATTTAAATTCCCAAATCCACATCTAAATGCCCGGTGTTAAATTAAGCATCTAAAGGAGGGGTCTTAGTTGTATCAGTAATGGATAAACCCACACACTTCTGAAATCACAGTGCAAGCTCAGTGCCTTTGGAAATCAGGACACTGCCATTTAAGTGCCTAAATATGGATTTTGGAGTTGAGGTCCAAGGAATACAGGTTTTAAAACTGGCTTTAAACTTCAAAAAAAGATTTGTATTTTTTTAATGTCTGTCACTCGGAGTCAGATGTTTGGTTTTTAATTTGAGAAACTGAACTGTAAAATATGGTTGGGTTGATGGTCAGAAATAATGAGCACCTGTAGCTGCCATTGACTGCAGTGAAATGTTGGTGCTCACACGTGAAAATCAGGCCAAGTGGAACTATATTGCTACTGAAGACATTGGGAGAAAGTGTCTGTCAGCACTTTTTAAAGTCAGGCTCATTTACTTAGGTGCTTGTATATGGCCTCGAAGGTGGCTTCTTAAGGCTGTTATGTTTTGGAAATCTTGGCCTTTACGCCTACTTTGAATCCCATGGAATTAAGTATTCTTGTGTGTTCAGAATGTGGTTTCAAAAGCCACAGTGAATTTAGTGGAAGTCTTAGGAACTCAAATTGTCCTCTTGAATCAAATTTGAGACCTGTCATTTTGAATTGTGTTTCCATGTGGAACAAGGTGTGTCCATGTCTCTGTCTTAGCAAAGACGGAGGGAACAGCTGATTTCACTGGACACACTATTCACAGAAAGGAAGGCTTTCAATTATGGAACCTCATAAAATAAAGTAATTTATACACAAACTGAAGACAAAATAATTTGGAGTTCAAAGGTCAGCAAGCATGCAAATTAAGGAAAAGCTGTATGAAACTGCATATATTTAAACATTTTCTTTTAACAAGTGCTTTTTTTCTTGCAGTATCTTTTTAATATCTAAATTTACATTTGCAAGCAGCAAAGTTGAATATGTCTAGAACAGCATTTACAATGTTACAGATTCTCTTGTTTCTGACAGAGTGGACAAATACATTTTATGTTACAGGTTATATAATACAAAGCTGTCATATTACAGTCAAGTAATAACCATGAGATAGTACAAAGGCCTTCATTAACTGGGAGGCTTCAGCATAGACAATGTTAGCATATTTACGATTTGTTTTATTTGCATGAGATCCAGTTTCAGTAACACGCTACCGTGCTTGTGTCCTTACGCAAATTTGTCTTCTACGGTCTGTCAGGTTATCTAACACAGTGAGGCCATTGCTTTGGGGTTCAGCTTTTTGACTGCGTGGTGTTGGAAGAAGCCCCCGATGGTTTGTTATGTCTCTTAAGCAATGTAGTGAACAAAATAGGAAGCACAGATAATGGGACAGAGCCACATGTAAAGGGAATACGTGATAGGCTAAGCCAAACACCTAGGTTAGCAATTAACCTACATCCTTCCTCCCCCACCCCCAAGTTTTGATGGCATTGATAGGGGACAGAACAGTGGCAGCTCACGCAGAGAGGTTGGACTCCCTGTACTGGAATTCTTCTCCACCTGGTTCCCCTTTGAAAACCATTCTGACTGACGGGTTTGAACATATGATACACCTGTCAACAGCTTGTCCTCGGCAATGGACCAGCTGAGAGAAGCAGCAGGCCATGTAGCTCTCTTACTGAGAACAAAGCAGTTTGTGCTCATTGTGCAGCTCTGCCGTGCACATTTTCCTTCAGCAAAGCTAGATGTGTAGCCAGTAGTGTTCAGCAAACAAGCTTTTCTGTTAACACCCTCATTCTGTTTCCTTCTTGTTAGGGAGAGAGAATTTAATTTTTTTTTCCACACCAAAAGCAAAGAACCCTGTTTAGATCCATTTGAGGAAATGGAAAGGTACAACAAGAAAAAAAAAACAACCCTTCATGTAATAGTCTGGATGCTAAAATGTAGGATATGGCTCAACATACAGAATATCTGTAGCTCTCACATTATATTATCTGCTTTTACCCATGACAAGAGGAGCTGTCCATTAGTTTAAACAAATGCTACAGTAGCTGTGACTCTGGAATACAGCTGGGGAAAACAAACAGCTGATTGAAAATCAAAACTACTTAGCTGTACAGCGATCAGGTACCTGTCAACATAGCATCTGAAAACCAGCAACAACTGGACTGCAAAGATGTTTTCAGAAAATATTCCCAGTTAGAGCAGAGAGTAGTAAAATCATGCAGATTTAGTTAAAAATGTTGATGCCTGACCTCAGAAGTTGAGCTGGTATCTTTAGCTCTGTCATTCTACTACTAACAATAAGGGTTAGGCTAAGTTTTGCCCTCTACCATTTGCTTTTCTTTAGCTGGGCTTATCTGGCAGCTGTGCAGATACCAAAGATAAAGTTCTATTCCTTTACAGGATCCCAAATACCACCGCCAACTCAGTCCATGTTTTATTCCAACTTTTTTGAGTTTAAAATAAATAACTGCTTGCGGATCCTCCGACTAATTCTAGGATGTGCTGTATGTTCAAAATGCACCTACAAATAATACCTGACTCTATGAATTGGACGATTCATAGAGGGGCACCCTAGCTTGTCTCCCTCAGCAGCTTTTCTTCAGTGTGGTTACTGGTAAAGGAAATCAAAGGACTAAAAACTGGCCAGCTAGTCTTTTCAGGGCCAGTTTGAAAAGATTTATTTTCCTCAAGGGTCTAAGGGCTAGACTACTGGTGGACAAATTGAATGGATTTGCCAATAACTTAGAAAGCTCCTGTACTTAAAGTGTTGATTTCCAAGGTACCATTTCTGGTCTTGTTTTTGGAGCTGGTTATCACACATATTCTGGAGAAAAAAATCTTAACATTTCATACACTTTTTAACTGGTCAGGTGTATGCAGAATAACCATTACAGATGCACAAATTACTGATTCAGCCCATGAGAGGAGGAGCCCTCAACCCTTTGCTAATTTATATATAAGATCCAGTGTACTATCTACCATGCTCATTCAGGATATATTGGCAGAAAATATCTGAGAAACAGTAAGCACAAATGTTAGCTTAATGTTGTCATGTTAGTTGCACTGTTCCACAATACTGCAATTTTTGCAGTTCATAAATTCTCAGTACAGTTTTTTTCTGCTCTATTATGTGCATCTTATGAATTTAAGATAAAATATCATCTCTTAGTATATTAACAAAGATCTTGTCTCAAGATAGATTTCTTAAAATAGTAGTTAAAAAGTGTTATATGTTTCTGAATGCATTTTCTTCAGTTTGGTTTCTGATGTTTGTACTCCCCAGAAGACCAACCAGATTGCCTTAACTTTAAAAATGCAAGGTATGTTGTTTGAATACCTTTGTAAACCTGAATAAAAAAAACTATTAGTTTTTTTCAAATTTCTTTTCTTATTTCCAAGAAAAAGAAATGGAAAGAATCACAAAATGATGTCAACTAATTGTTTTTAATTTACATTCGTTTGAGGCATAACGAACTGCTTGTAGTTATGTATTGATTTAACAATCCCTAACAAGTGAGTAGGAGTCTAAAAACCCCAGCTGGGGTCATGCCCCATGGAAGTTATGAGTATCACATGTACTCACTATGAGGATAGATGTATCTCTCCAAAGTACAATGCATCACAGCTGCCATATATAAAAAGGTGTATGTAGAAATGTGTTTTTGATGTTTCATACATTTTAAAGTAAATCTTCACAGTTTTCAGTTTTTCATTTAACTTCAGTGAAAGTCCACGTCAATCAAGAAGCTCAGCTGACAGTTGCAACGGTTGGAGTCGGTTCACCGCCTTCGGCTCCTGCTTCTACCTGATTGGTCTTACCAAGCTGTTTCAGAGTGTCCAACACGAGCTTGATAGTTTCCTTCATGCTTTGCTGCAGAAGCCAGCCCTCACTTTCACATTCAGGGTCTTCAGGATTTGCAATGCTTTCTAGGGCAGTGTGCAAAAGACGCAAACCAATCATCACTGTCACCTGGGTGGGATGAATTGAAAAAGGCAGTGAAATCCAGCAAACATCTTAGATCCTCAGACAACTGAATATGCTCCTTCCCCTTGTTATCATGTAGTATCATGAAAGCAATATTCACTGTTCTGACTCTTAGACTCTGCAGGTCTGAGTAGCATTTCATTTGCTTTACCTGCCATCTCACTCAGGAAGAGCCAGCGCCTTGCCAGATACAAACTTTGAAAAATCCATGCAGCTGAGAACAGTGAAACGCGAATCCCCCAAATGAAAGAAGTCACCTGAGCCCCTATGAATAACAGAAGGAAGACAGAAAACAGATCCCATCACCTCCAGACAGCCAGCCAATATGGAGTAGCAAGAAGTGAGGCGGTGTGAGGAGTAAGGAATGGAAAAGTGGATGTAGAAAGGAGAAACTGCATTGCTTGGAATCTGGGAATCGCAAAGTAATCACGGGGTGGAATGTGCATTGTAGTATCTGGCTGACAGGCAGTGCATCGATTTATAAATTTTGCTGGTACCCCCGAAATCATGAAGCAAATGTAGTATGTCAGGCTGCTGTGCAGTGATGGGCTTGACTGTGCATGTGCGCGTGTGTGTGTCTGCACATACATTTGTATTCTGACTGAATTTACTTCGTACGTGGCTCTCCATTTCTTCTAGAAGCTCTGATCTGAGGTGTATGGATTTCCCAAGGAATTTTAACCTTATCTCTGTACTAACCTTTTAATAAAACCATTTATACATGCTACATGGACTTCATCGTCTTCAGTCCATTTGAATTCTGAATAAAACACTTTGATTCTTTCCTTAATCATCATCTTTGGTAAATGTATCAATAAGGTCAAAAAAAGGTTTCCTGAACCAAAGCTGGTCAGGCTATCCAGGAATAAGTGGGATTAGTAAGTGACCCATCAGCTACTCAGTTATAATTTTCAGTTATAAATGTTGCTTTTTTTATACAAAAAATATACTCCACCTATTGCATTGACTTTATCTGTCATTGTGTATATCTGAAAGAAAATTTTGGCTGGGGTAAAATATTTACTGATCCCTAAAGCCTTCTTTATACTAAAGAACTATGGTGGGTTTGTCTCCAACCTGCCTGCAGACAAAATATGGTAAGTCACAGGAGCCTATTGGTTTTTAAGCATTCTTTTATCTTTGAACATGGCTCAGAAAAATCAAACTTCCTGCTGTGTTGTGTTTATAAAGAAATTGTGCTGTCTGTGACTTAGAGAGAGAAAGAGGAAATGCTGTTTTGAATGGAAAGCTTCATGCAGTGGAAGGACAGGTACGCTAACAGTGGGAAGGGATTTCAGATGTTGCATAGAACTAAGGTCTAGATCACTTGTCATTAACAATCTCTTGGCATTTGTTCTACTAGAAAAGGGGGCTAATGCCATTTTCCTCTTCAAGTTTTAAATGAAGTAATTGCAATCGTGTCTTACTAAGTTCCCTCCAGGTTGAACTGAATGTGATAGTCCTCTTCACCTAACCCTAAACCATTGCACTGGTACCGCCTTTAATCCTAGAGGCCATATTGCAGTAATGGTTAAAATGATTGTGGTCTTTGCCCCTTATTCATCTTATGGCACAGGTGTAACCGCACCAATCTTATGATATAAAATTGGCACATAAATGTAAAGCATTAATATTTACTGCACTGTTTTAACCAGACATGGGGGCAAATTGTAAAACTTAAGCTCAGACTTACAGTATTCTGGTGGTGGCGCAGATGGATAGATTTGGTTCAGCCGATTATGGTTATCTGCAAAACTCGTATCCAGACTTTGGATACTTCTTAAGTTTAAGGTGCTTAGGTACATACTTACAAGATCACTCTCTCTCATTTTAACCAGGCCTAATGTATTGGATAGACCTAAATGTTGTCTCAAACTCCTGGGTAAAGAAGGCTACTTTTTAGTTTCCTCCCAATACTGCAGGTAGCAGTATTTGTTCTGTCTTATTCAAGAAGAGAAAAGGTTGATCAGATGAACAGGCTTTGCCAAATGTCCACATATTTCCATACTCAAAGACAGCTGGCTCTCAGGGCACATAAAAAGACCCTTGAGATCCCTGACTTTTACAAATGCTCCAAGGCCCTGCTTCTGGAAGGTGCTGAGTGCCTCAATTCTTATTTAACCAGATGGCACTATTGGATACCTCTGTCAAAGGAAGTATTAATTCACAATAATCACTCTTAGAATTTAACAGACTTCTGACAATCTGAGAGATCAATCCTTCCAATTTTGAGGCTAATGCTATTATTTTTTCTTACGGGACCAGTGCTATTTATAGGCTTACTGCTATGAGCCAATAAATAGCTTTCAGGTTTTGGGCCTAAAATACAGTCGTCTTATAACCGTCCAGTAATGGTTTGTCTTGCATTCCTTGCTGTTCATCAACAGAAGGTCTTTGCAGAGTGCCTCAGCAGCTTTACTACTTGACAGTAAATTACTTGTATGGGGTACTTCTCCGGAGGTGCTCTCATTGTTTGGATATGGTTTAGCAGTAAGGCATCATCATTTCATGCCCTGTAGCTAAGGCAGCCTCACAGAAGTTTCCCAGTAATTTTCACCAATTTAACACCACCTCTTCCTGTAAGGCCTCATTTTGTGGTTTTAAAAGACCTTGAGCCATGAATGCCCCTCAGGACTGAGAGAGGCTTGCCTGGAGATGAATGCATCTGGGCTGAACCTGCATTTCTGCTGCAGTACCAGCTTATGAGAGCCTAGGGAGCTGAAGGCCAAAGTCTGAAAAGTGAGCTTGCATCTCTGGTATGACAGTATAGAGCACTGGGCCACCTCTCCTATTAATCAAGTTATTAGTCAATTATCTACCAGCATCACTTGTCCAGGCACTCCTTGTGTAGCACCCATTATTATGGCATCTGAGAGCTGACTAGGACTGTGAAAGCTACATGCAATGAACTATTCTTATGAAAGAAATAACATAACTAGACTAAAGTTTGCTGCTTCGTTTTGCCTTGATGCTTTTACCTGTAGGGCCTCGCCTAATTACAGTGCAGCAGAGAGATACTGATAGCTGTGGCCTGAGAGCTGTGCTGGTTCCATTCCTCTTTGCAATGAAGGAGCATTTGTAACAATTCTTATAGCTTTTGTGGACACTGGATAACAAAGCAATGCAATCTTGCTGCTGGATCTGAGAGGGATGGGTAGAGCCTATTGGTGAAACTATTTGTTCCTTCCTTCCTTAATTGTAAATGACCTCACTATTCCCGTTCAACATGCACAGGAGGATGCAAGAAAAGAAGGTGTGATGGTTTGTGTTCTACAGAATGATGGGATTCAGCTTTAATCCCTTGACAACATTTTGTGGTCTCTGTTCTCACAGTGGTTTACTAAGCTAGGAGATGTGCTCCACTGGCTGCCACTCAGTTCAGACAGGAATGCTGGTAGGTGGAGGAAAGCATCGCATGGATCCAGTGAAGATGGTGAATGTCTGTTATACTGAAACAAATCTTTAGTTACTAGAGACCACATAGGCCCCTGTCTACTTCTAACATTTTCACCCCCTGCACTGGAGTAACAGATTGCCCTTATCATGGCCCCCCCACCATTAATTTTGTCTAATGTTGAAGGTAGCAGCATGTTGTCTTTGCTGTGTAAATCATACCGCTTGTATTATATTTGTATATCAAATACATCTCTGATTTTACAGTTCGTTGGGGTCCAAATAAAATTGTGGCGTACACTCCCTCCGTTATTTCCTACATTAGACCTACTTACAAGACCACCTTGTCCCCTGTGAACCATTGCAATGGCTAAGCCCCATTTGTCTCTTCCTTGTCCATCACAGTATTTTCTGGAATGCCTTCCACAACAAAGAGGTGGTCAGGCAAGTTAGTCTGAAATCTGGCAGAAGGTAGGACAGGGTGGCACCTTAAGGTGCCTATACACGTGAAGTGAGGTGGCTCCGACGCACTGTAATTACAGCACCTCGGAGCAGACTTGATTAATCGAGTCTTCTGGATTGTGGCAATTACTGCATTCTGGCACACTCCAGTGTCACTTGTATCAGTGTCCCCATGCTGAAAAATGGCAGCAGGGGCGCTTTAACTAGACTCGCTGATGCACATGATGCTCCAGGTGCTTTAATTAGGACGCCTCTCTGAGCCCCTCGAATTAAAGTGCCCCTCCCCCACTCCCAGAGCACGCCTATAAATACCCTTAGAGACCAACTGGTTCAGAGAGAGGCATGAGATGACAACCTACTTCATCAGCCTTACCAAACCACTTGAGCCTGCTATCCTAAGCATTCTCAGCTTGGACTGCTCTGGACAGTGCATTCTGTGGACAGTCCTTAAATCTGGTGCTTGTTTTCCCTATTGGTCAAAGCAAGTCAGGAAAGGCAGCAGAGGTTGCACGGTTTGACCTTCAGAGACAAGTCTCATCTGCTTACTAAGCTTTGGCTTGCAGTGGATTAGTTGTGTGGAAGGTGGTGTGATCTTATTTTGTCACACTGAAGGCTGTCTGTTAAAGCAGGGGTTGAGAGTGTAAATTTTCAGCTATTAGAAACAGCAGGTACAGAATTCCTGGTGTGTAAATTTGTAAATATTTACAAAAGAGACATCATATCACATGTTTTTATACCCACTTTAATATATCAAACTTATTCCCTTGCTTTAGCTCATAATGTTCCTACAAAAGCTTTCACTTAAATGGTTTTCCCCTCCCACTTCACTTCTTTCCATTGGGCACCTTTTGTTTTTGCCCATGATTCTAAAGTGGGCATCCTTTTCTCTCTAATCCTCTTTCTGAAATTTAGGATCAATGCCAGCATTAGAATGTGCACAGCTCTGCAACACCCAGAATGGTACTTACTTGTCAGGGGCCACTATAGTGCTGCTGCTTTGAACTTTCATTGTATTCAGATGCAAAGCAAAATGGGGAGGCTATGGTACAGCTATTATATTCAGCTTCTCAGCAAACCAGTAGTAGGTGAAAATATAATGAGAGATTTAGAAGTTTGAAAGATAACTCCCCCATGTGATTGCCATTTGTTAGCCAGGTTGAATTTTCAACTCTGGCTGGGGACAGTGTCCTTATATATATCATTGTTATTCAGTACAGAATTATTTGTCTTCTCTTTATTCAAAACCGACATGGTTTAGACAATGCTGATCCTGCTATGAGCAGGGGGTTGGACTGCATGACCTCCTGAGTTCCCTTCCAACTGCATTACTCTATGCATTTTATGAAAACTGTGCTGTGTTATGGGAGAATAAAGCAGTGTCTATTTGTTTCCTAGACTGTTTTTTTTCTTCAAAGGCCTTGTGTTACTGTAGCGTCAATTCACTGAGAAGGATTGACTTTAAATGGGTTTCTTTTATCTGTTTAGACAGGAGTTGTATGCTGATCATCCAGCTCTTCAGCAAAGGGAGCCCAGAACCTAAATCTGGATTGTCTGTACCTGAACAGACTTATGAACAGGCCTGAACTTGAAGCCAGGCATAGGTGAGGTGTCCCATTCCTGAACAATTATTGTCAAGTACTGCCAACTCTCACTCTTTTGAGTCTTGTCATTTTTCATGTTTTCTTAAAACCCCAGACTATAGGGATTTTCTGATTCCATGTAAAACTTAGCTTTCATTTAAAAAGTGTACTCCATACATCTGCAAAGAAACTTGGAAATGTTCCCCAAATGCATTCGGATGGTTTAGAAACAAAAATCTCATACAATTAAATATATTTTTAAACACAAACAAAAAACAAACTGTCACATTGTTAATTCAAATCTCAGTGTTTTGGGGAGGCCAATCCAAGATTTTTTTTATATCATTGCTGTATGGTCTGTTTATCAGTCCTTTAAGCCCCCACTTATTTTCATTGCTCAGAAATATATTTTCATCCCCCTCTGTGTAAGAGATCTTGGTTTTTGATTTTGCCTAGATCAAATCTTCTGGCTGAAGATTTTCTTTGTTTTGTTTACCAGAAATTATACAGTTGTTATAAGAACCATGGAGACAAGCCACACATGGTCTCATGGGAGGTTTTTAAAAAAAAAAAAAAATGTAATTTGCCATCTTCTGCATTCTAACCATAGTGATGGAAAATAAATGGAAAAGTTCAATAGCTTTCTGTCAATAAAAAGCAAATTTGGTCATTCATAGAAGTAAATGAGAGTCGGATAAAAATTAAATTAGAGCCTTAGTTAATCTTTGGGTTGTATATATTTGAATTTTACAATCAAATATTTAAAATGCTCCTCCCTCCTGTTGGCAGCCATTTTAAGTCTACTTCTGTATTTGCAGCATGATCTATTCTCCTCCCACCTCCCCCTACTTCTTCATGCTACCTCCAGCTAACTCCAACCTAAATTTCTAATTCATTCACATTTAGTGTTCATCAAATGTAGTAGCCAGGAGTCAGTGTTCACTTAGATGTAGAGAACATAGATTCTTCACACTGTGTTCAATTTATCTTAAAACATCACATCACCACCAGTCATGGTGTTTGCACCATGACTGAATTCAAAGTGCCGTTCTAAATCCCGCCTTTTCAGCTACACCATCCTTTCTGCCCAGAATATTTGTGGAACTAACTGTAGTGCCTAGATGAAAATGCTAGGTGCAACCCCATGTTCCAGCCCTATTGTCTTGCACTTGGATCCTGGCTCAGATTAAAATTTTAAGGATGATGTCATCTCTGTATTGAACTTTAATTTCGCTTTCTGCTCCAAAATACACTATTCATGTTTTAATGCATATGATTCTCCTTCAATTGTGATATATTCTTAAAAAAGACCCACATCTCTGTCTTGCTTTTTTCTGTTCAGCAAAAGGTATTTTGCATTAAATTAGAAATCAACAGCTAGTGCCTTTTTTGTGTTGCTTTTAGTATGTTTTTTAGTATCCTCCATGATATACCAACACCTTTCTGGAAAGAGGGGTTATAATCTGTCACAGGAAAATGCAGGTTTTATTTCCTCTGGCTGCAGGCTACTCCTGCAGCCCAGGCCTTGAAGCCCCCTATACAAATAGTGGTTAATATGTGTGACCACATATTGGTGGATTCTTAAATTTAAGCTTATAGTTAACGCAGAAATTAATTTATTGTGGGATAACAATGCTCTGTGTTCCCTCAATCAATGTTATAATACAACAGATATGTTTAGAGAAATTTCCATAACCACAAGTTACCTCCAAGATCCAGACGAAGAGGACAACAATGCCCATGGAGCTCATCATGTTGGTGTAGTAGCGCAGAAGTGCATCCTTGCAGCCGGTGTCCCAGAGGTTGAGATCCTCTGCTTGATAGTCATAGCTGTAGTGCGCTGAGTTGTTAGTGATCTGGTACTGGATACACGGTCTTGGGGAATTAGGATTGCAGCAACTGAAGGGGACTCCATCAACCAAGTATCTTCCATCCACATTGCTTTTAATTCGACTATGTAATAGGCAAGGGCAAAAGGAAGTGTCAATGTGTAGATTCAAGGGAAAAAAAATAGAACTTTAATATAAGGGAAAGGGAGAAACAAAAGCAGGTTTTTTTCTATAGTGTTCTATGATCATGCAGTGTCCTACCTCTGTCCACCCTATCTGTACATATGTACCATATGTTTTTCTTCTCCTGGGACTTCTGTAACATCTTTCCTGGATTAGTGTGTGTAACCAGTACTCCATAGTGGGCACTTAACATTTCCAGTCCCTTGATCAATCAAGCCATTACCAATGTTGACAGCATTTGACATGGTGGATGCGGGAGGAAGGCAATCAGAAAAGACCACTGCTTCTCTGTGACCTTGAATAAGACTCAGCAACAGTCAAAGAATCTGGCACACCCTAGTAAACTACTGATCTAACAAATCCAGGGTCTTTCCTTCAACAATGGCCAAAACCATTGGCTCAGAGTAGGTAAAATGACCCAGGATTTAAAACAACAAATGTGATTTTCAATGAGATGTGCAATAGTGTTTGAAGTTTGCTACTCGGGACCTACCTACCTCTTTGTTCTCCCTTTCAGAGCTGATTATTTCTCAGTGAATAACCCTTTAAGCTGATATTTTACCTCCCCCCCCCCCCCCCGACCCCAATGTTTACCTAGGTATTTATAATGCATCCACTTAGTATCAGGACCCAACTTTTGTCACTAACTGTGAAAGGCAAAAATAAATTGAGGACTTTGATTTCAAGAACAACTACTAGCTTCTAAATGTTTAATGTTTTGTGCCCAAACAATATTTTAATTCTGACATGCGCTGCCATCCATGGTAGTGGCGCCACCTAGGGATTTTATTCTTTTATCTGGACTGGCTCATTTTTAATGGATCACAAATGGCATATGTGGGTATCAGACAGGGAGGAGGACCTGAATGAAGAGCTTGTCTCAAGCCTGAACATTTCTGAGTGGCATTGCTGAGGCATGAAGTGTGCAAAAAATATCTTAGGAATTTTTAAAATCATGAAATATAAGGGCAACATTTCCATAACTGTTTTCAATGAGGATGACTTCCAAACCCTTCCTTCCTCAGTGCCAGTGGAAAGCAAAAATGGGTAGGAGGTTGGGGGTCATGGCAGGTACAGTTTTGAGGGTGTTGAAAGAACAGGTTAGGGACTACTTAGAAAAGCTGGACATGTACAAGTCCATGGGGCTGGATGGGGTACACCCGAGGGTGCTGAGGGAGTTTGTTGATGAGATTGCAGAGTCATTGGCCATAATCTTTGTAAACTCATGGTGATCAGGAGAGGTCCCAGATGATTGGAAAAAGGCAAGCATAGTGCCTGTATTTAAGAAAGGGAAGAAGGAGGATCCAGAGAACTACAGACTGGTCAGCCTCACTTCAGTCCCTAGAAAAATCATGGAGCAGATCCTCAAGGAATCCATTTCTAAGCACTTGGAGGAGAAAAAGGTGATTAGGAAAGTCAGCATGGATTCACCAGGGGCAAGAAATGCCTGACCAACCTGATTGCCTTCTATGATGAGGTGACTGGCTCTGTGGATGTGGCGAGACAGGTGGATGTGGTGTACCTTGATTTTAGCAAGGCTTTTAATACGGTCTCCCACAACATGCTCACAGGCAAGCTAAGAAAGTATGGGCTGGATGAATGGACTGTAAGGTGGATAGAAAACTGGCTGGAGCATCAGGCCCAGAGAGTAGTAGTCAATGGCTTTATGTCTAGTTGGCAGCTGGTATCAAGTGCAGTGCCACAGGAGTCAGTCCTGGGGTCAGTTTTGTTCAATGTCTTCATCAACAACCTGGAAGCTGGCATAGAGTGCACCATCAGAAATTTTGCAGATGACACCAAACTGGGGGGAGTAGTAGATACACTGGAGGGTAGGGCTAGGATTCAGAGTGACCTAGACAAATTGGAGGATCGGGCCAAAATAAATCTCATGAGGTTCAGCAAGGACAAGTGCAAAGGCCTGCGCTTAGGATGGAACAATCCCGTGCACCGTTACAGGCTGGGGGCTAACTGGCTGGGCAGCAACTGTACAGAATGGGACCTAGAGGTTATAATGGACAATGAGCTGAATATGAGCCAGTAGTGTGCCTTTGTTGCCAAGAAGGATAACGGCATACTGGCCTGTATTGATAGATGTGTTGCCAGTAGGTCAAGGGAAATGATTATTTCCCTCTATTCAGCACTGGTGAGGCCAAGTCTGGATACCGTGTTCAGCTTTGGGTCACAACTACAAAAAGGATGTGGATAAATTGGAAAGAGTCCAGTAGAGGGCAACAAAAATGGTGAGGGGACTGGGGGACATGACTTATGAGGAGAGGCTGAGGGAATGGGGCTTACTAAGTTTAGAGAAGACTGAGAGAGGATTTGATAGCAGCCTTCAATTACCTGAACAGTGGTTCCAAAGAGGATGGAGCCAGACTGTTCTCAGTGGTAGCAGATGATAAATAAGGAACAATGGTCTCAAGTTGCAGTAACGGGAAGTTTAGCTTAGATATTAGGAAAAAATATCTCACTAGGAGGGTAGTAAAACACTGGAATAGGTTACTGAGAGAGGTGGTAGAAGCTCCATCCTTGGATGTTTTCAAAAGCTGGCTAGACAGCTTTGGCTGGGATGATCCAGTTGGGGATAGGAGTTAGATTAGATGACCTCCTGAGGTCCCTTCCAACCCTAATTTTCTATGATTCCAAAGCACGAAACCAATTTTGGAAACATGGTGTAAACATGTCTGAATATTGAGCAGAATTCTTTTCTATTCTTAGGACATTGTCTGTCACTGGCAGGACTAACAAAACAGTGGGAGTTGGATCAGGGCCCGTCAGTGCAAAAATAAGATGCTGTAGGTTAAATCCTAGCTTCATTGAAATAACTGGAAGTTTTGCAGGGTTTCAGGATTTCATAAGCTGTTAATGAACTGCATGCTTTGCAATACACAGCACTATCAAAAATCAGAATTTGGCCCACAGTCCCAAATTGCCACAGACATGAATTTGTAAGGCCTTCTTACTTGTTTTAGCATTGAAGAAATCTCCAAGGAAATTACCAGGGAACTCATATCCCCCATTTTTAAGAACAATATAATCCTGTTTTCTCCCTGTGCTTTGCCCTTCTGCCATTGATGGATTACATTCCAGTTTGCAAATCTTAAGATAATACTAGCAGGGTCAACCTCTCCTTATGTTTTCAAGTAGGTATTTATAGCTAAGGGCATTTCCTGCAATTCAGTGCTCCCATTTTAAGCAAAAAATATGTGTATTGTCACAATGTCAGGTCAAAATGCTACAGCACAATCAAGACCATCATTGTTTTGAGTATAAAATGTCTAACTACAGGTTTTTAAAGATCAAATGAAATAATACAGACAGGCAAAATCACATAGGGAGCTGGCTTGGGGCATAAGAGGGTTTTTTTTAAACAACTTCAGTCAATTTTAACATACATAATATATATCTAGAACATAGATGTGTTTCTGGTTTAAGACATTCTTCATGCAGATGATAATAAAACTGTGTTTACTAATGATTTCCAACATAATGCCCCTGGGTGTTTAATTTAGCCAAAAGGTTTCTGCATGTTCATGCTGACTTGTTATGTTTTTTTCATTCAAAAAGCTCATTTGTCTTAAGGTTTGGAGAAGGGCTTGTTTGTTTTATGGTGTGAAATTAGTTATCATTGAACTGACCTACAGACTAAAGTGTTCCAATGCTGTGACCTCAGAGCCAGCCATTACATGGTCTATTTAAAAAACCCCTACAGTTATTTCACTGAAATTACCTGAGCTTGAAAGGAATTTATCAGCAGTCAATATTTCCTATCCATTCATTGAGAGCTCAACTACATATTTATTATCAAACAGAAAAACAGGATCAAGAACATTAATGTCGCTGTCTTCATTTATTTTGAAGTATCAAGTATAAAAGGTGGGGGGACGTTACATTTTTTGGGCTACACTCTTAAAATGATTTTCTATTATTTATCAGAATTGAATGGATTGATGATGGCTTACACTGCCTTGGCTAACAGAAAGGCTGAGCATGGGGCTGAGCTGTGGAGATCTGTTTCCTGAAACTGGTTCTCCCAGATGTCATTAGCAAATTTGTTAACCTCAGTGTCAGTTTTCCTTCTTGTAACTGATAATCCTTACATACCACTTGCTTCAAAGGAGTGGTGTATTAGTTAATTCACAAGACAGTGTAAAATCCATTTAAATGTAGAGAGGTCTATAGGAAGCCTAAGAACTGTTTACACTTCCTGTCTCTAGTCAGAGGATTTTTTAAGCCCAATTTTATGTGCCTGAAGGTTCAGCCTACCTTCATTCTGAATTTTCTCACTTTTGTTGTTTGTCAGACTTTTCATGTAATGTTCACATACTTTGCATATTTTAAAAGTATTAGAGAGAAGGTTTGTGATTATGTTCTATAATCTACTTCATGAAGAATCTGTGCTATTTCTTCTCTGTGTTTTTTGCTTTAATTTCCCATAATACATTTGGGATGAAATGTATTCAAACTGAAAAAATACAGAGTTTATCTGATTTATTAGAAGTACTGCACTAAAGGTTAGGCAGAGAATTCCTGATGGCAGTTAACTGCAGAGCATTGTTGTAACAGTAAATGAATGCATGCAATTAAATGAAAAAGAACTTTGAAGACTGATTTAAAAAAAAATCCTGACCATATAGTAGAGGAAGAAGTATGTTTCAGTTTGTCTTCATGAGAGAGGCTGTGCCAGAACCTTACAATTCTATTAGTCCTACAGGTCAGAGAGAGGTCCTCTTTACAGTAATTCAGTACTATTCTCTTATTCATATACTTCATTTTTGTAGTAGGTATGGATGTGTTCAGCACAGTTGGGCTTGTGACGTGGAAGACAAGCTGGTAAAGAAAAACTAAGCAAATGTTTTTGAAATTCCTTCAGTATTAAGGTTGTATAAGGGGAGGATAATTATCACACTGTTACCTACGTGCTGGATAGTGCTGGGTGAATTGATCAGGAGACAAAATAATCTGTTTGATAACTTGAAATAGTCTCTCAAATAAAGTATATGAACATCCATCCCACATAAAAACCAGGTAAGGACCATAGTTCTCTCTCTATTTCAACATCTAGTCCTTTGATGTGATATGGATCAAATAATAATGCAGTGTTAAATAAACCACATGAAATGACTTACTCTTTCACTTCTTTAGAACTGAAGTCCAGGTATCTGTTGCTGATCCACTGAATCTCAAACCAGTCTTTGAAACCTTTGTTCCCACAGCATTTGAATTCAATTTGGAGCATGTCAATTGTCTTCTTCATGAAGCATCTTCCCGGGGTATCTGTATCCTTGTAAAACTTCATGCCATTCTTTAGCCCCTGGGTTAGTGTATTCTCCAGGGAGCCCCTCATGAGAAAGCAAATCAGGGCAGTGAGAAAAATGAGGGTGTTAAAAAGGAAACATAATGCCAGATAAGGTTTCAGAAAAGGCTTCCACTTTGCAAACTTGGTGGGATCCAGAGAATCATAGCTAATTTTGCCAGCAAAGCCATTGAAGGTGCAGGATAATATTCCCATCAATATCAAGGAATTGGGCACAAAATGGCTTTCAGAGTTGTCCATCACTTCACTTCGCTTCCGGAGCTCAATTTTGAGGAACAATCCCATGCTAAAAACAAGGATTCCTGCAAACACTGAAAACCAGTTCATGAGCCATAGTCCCTGAGCTAATTTTACTCTCTTCTTCTGGGTAAATTTGATTTTCATCAACGCCATCTTTGTAATGTTGGATACTGGAAGACTGCACGGTATCAATCCTTTCCTTGATTGTGAGAAATTTTAGAAAGAACCATCCAGATAGTTAAAAAACTCTGAATGAGATCATTTTAACGAAGCCATTGCTTGGTCTGTCCATCTTGAGTTCCCTAACCTATGGTTTGAGCAAGTAAATATCTAAAATGCCAAGTTACTTATACATTAATAAAAATAATTGGCAAAAAGCGCCTACAGCTATTTCTGGTGGTCCCTTCCAAGCAAAGAAGAAACAATCTAGAAGTTTCAAATAATTTGATCTGGATCTGCAAGACGTCATTCTAATACCTTTAATCAGTTTGAGCCAATTTAGAGAAGTGTCTGTCAACAGATGAGCGGAATTAATCCCTCATTTTACTATTTAGTAGATTTGTGCTTTCACATGATAGGTGACATTGTACTAAACATAAAAATCCAAATATGGAAAAAAATCTTTGTTGCCAGATGAATATGAATTATTTTGGGGAGCCAAGGGTGTGGGCTCCTAAAATGATATCACCAAAAAAGTATGTTTTATATACTGTTTTGAGTTATTTTAACTCATACCCAGAAACAATATTTTAGTGTTTATCCTTCTCCTAGATGACATTCTTCAGCTTAAATGTTGTGGGAACAGTTGAGGGTGTCATTTTCTGTGACCTAAAGACCCTAAGTTTGTGCAGGCCCTTGGAAAAGAGTAGAATATACCATTCTACTCTTTCTGGCAAGAGTAAAGGAAAATGAATGCGCAGATAAACTCACAAAATAAATCATGGCCTAAAATCCAGAACACTTGTCATGAGTGTCTTATTGGCTAATCATGGAAGAGCAAATAGAAGAAAGAGGGTTGTCAAGGATATGCAGAAAAGAATAACTTTCAGTAGGGTTACACCAGAAAGGAATTTGACACAGTGATTAAGAAAAGAATCTCTGCTTCATCATCATTAGTTAAGATATAAGAAATGCTATTATAGTCCCTATAAATATCCCAAAAGTGTGTCAAGGGGCATACAGAGTGCAATGCAGAATCTGGGGGCTCCTATATATTCCTGTTTTGTAGACAAAATGTTGTTAGAAAGACATTACATCCCATTATATCCATTAGGCAACCACAGCCCTTACACTGAGCAACAATATCAGGATATTATATATGCAAGTGTAGCTGCTTTCAATGCAGTTCTCTTCCCCCTCTTTGTAATTTCATCTCTCACTCCCATCCAATTTGATCTTCTAACTGGGGGTGGAGAGGGGGAAATGAGAGCCAGCAAATGTTCTGCAGTTATAGTCATTTGTGGACTAGATAGGAATTCTTCTCAACAAATCAAAACGGACTAAACAAACTGAAAAGAGAAATCACATAGGATTAAAAAATAAAAGGAAAGAAAGAAAAGAAGAAAGAATGTAAGAGAGGGACTTTAGGTATTGAAACAATGTATTAGAAAGGATAGGGGCTCTACTAAGGATTGACCTTATTTCCCCAGACAGATGGCGACCTAGAGAACTTTCCCAAGGAGGAAAGTACAGATCATGTGACTTAAGTGCATCCCCTAGTGGCTAATAGGGGAATGGCTCTGTGGAAAACTTCAGTGTAATATAGATCAATGTAATTATTTCATCTACTAGCAGTAAAACTATCGGCAAACTAAGGATTATATAACAGTCAGAGTAATAGTAGTAATAGGTGCAGCAGCAGCTCAGTCTCAAAACTGATATCTTCATATTCTGACAGTGCCCAGCAAGACTGAAGTCAGTTTCCATCAGAAAGCACTGGGGATTGGAGACATTTCCTCAAGTTGTTGTAAAGGATATTCAGTTACTGGTTTTATTTTACAGCAGGACCACTGCCACTGCTTTCATGAAGGGAAGCTGGGTTTTCTCAGTTCTGCCTACTGCTTACTGTGGGGCTGGGCACCTGACCACAGGCAAAGGTAACAGTCCCATTCACTAATACAACAGCACATTATAGTGAATCCAAGAGCTCAAACTTTTCTTTAGCAACAGACTGGTTGTTTGTACTGTCACTTCCCAGCTCCTGACTCCCTTTTTGGGTGCTTAGGTGTTGTGGGGGGGAGGGGGGGAGGAAAGAAGGCCATTATAACAAGCATAAAAAGGATATCAGCTCATTGACAGAGGGGATGGAAAGTGCTACTTTTTGGAGTGCATGTGAAATATTTCTGTGTAAAAAATAGCACTGAAACAGTCTTTCTCTGTTGGTCAGTCAAATACCACGTGACCCTGCAGTGCCAGTCACTATAATGGATTGAATTTCTAGCATTAAGCTGAAAGATACTGACTAGGTTGTTTGAAACAAATATTTACCTGAGCACCCAAAAGAGTTTTCCTTGTGTCAGTGATAGTAAACTATTTAGCAACTGAGACAGAATTACAGAATCCAAGAATATGGATCAACAAGAGACGTGAAAAACTTGCTCTGCTTTTCATTTAGGAGTAAAACAAGATATATGAATCAGGCACATCAAGGAGGAAGGTCCTGTGTAACTCTATGTGGATACTGCAAAGTTTAGATTTACACAAAACTGATGTGGACATTGGTAGCCGCTAGGTAACATTTGACTCCACTAAACGTTACTGTGGTAGATATGAAAACTGCACCCTATGGTTGGGTCTGTGTATCAATAATGTAATATAGCTTTAAATAGTTTGCAGGGTCACTAGTGATACTCACTGTTGCCTTTATTTTAGAAGTTATCAGAAGCCCACCAGAGCAGCAGTGTGCATATGCAAATAGACCTTGCATGTCCTGTATTATTATGCTGATAGCATTAATAACTTGCCTTCAAAAGCATCATGGCTCCAAAGACAACTGCAGAACTCCTGAAAGCCAATAGATGTGCCAAGAACTTGCATTTGGCTCAGCTCAAAGAGTAATGAATTATTTTTTATGTAGTAAAGTAGTTATAGACAATGAAAGTTACTGCCTGAGGCACTCATATATATGGCCAGGCCAGAGAAAGGTTAAGATCTTGTTTCCTCCACCATACATTTTTTTCCTGTGGCGCTCAAGTCAGGCATACTCCCAAAATTATGGTACATGAAAGCCCCTGGGTATTATAAACATGAAAGTTCTGGTAAGAGATTGATGCACAAAAGATACCAACAAAACAATGTAACAATGATTATCAGTAAAAACAACATGCATCTAACCTTAGTCCGTTGTGTCCTGGGACATGGCCACAAAGTTCATACTGGACCACTCTGATTGCAGTAGATACATTTTTTAATGGCCTAAAGCCATCCCACCACAGGCAGTGGAGATATTATGACTTATCTTCGAGAACTAGACTTTCTGAATGGAGTGTGACAATAGAAGTTAATTCACTTCCCAAAAGTTTCAACTGATTGTAGAAGAAATAGCATCAAGCATGCTGCATCAATTTCTTACCATCCTGCTACAAATGGATTAGGTTAGTGGAAAGATATACAAGATGTTCAAACAAGCAAATGATGCCATGGATCTCAATAAAGATAGTTTAAAAACAAGACTGTGAATTTTGTAATGGCCTGTAGAGATGCAGTAGAGGCTGCTATTACATCAGTTATCAGTGATGATGTTTATGGAGTGTAGTTTAAGGTCTTGTCTAGTTTAGTTAAATAAGCAGGAACTGCAGATAGACATTCTTAAGAAAAATGAACAAATGGCCACAGACCATCTCACATGGTTGTACAATATTTGTGTGGGAGAAAAAGTCCTAACAAAAGACTACCAAGACACCAAGTGGAAACCCTGCATGATTGTCTGATCTTCTGCCTCGGAGGAACTATTGAACTATTAGAACTAGCTTTTGCATACATTGTGGACTTCACAGAACAGATGAAGTCTCTATGATCACAACAAATAAGCTGCATACAAGGAAGTACAATGGCAATAGCTGAAGCCTAGGAAGCTTTGAGTGAGTGGGGACAGAAAAGGGAGGAATCATGCTGAGAAAGAAAGGAATGACTATTTCAGGGGTTAATAAATATATTAAATTTATTAAATTGAAATTGATTTTTTACTTTACTTAAATTATTTTTTCTTTTTAAAAATAAGCCTGTTTAAAATGAAATCTGGATTTAATATACAAAGTGTTGTTAGACTGTATTCTAATATTTTAAAACCTTTAAATAAAAAACCCAGCTTGTTGAATTCATGACACTCTATCAAAATCTTGGTTATTATAGCTTCTGTCCTTTTTTGTGTCACAAAAGAACTGGGAAGGGAAACATCTAACTTTTTGAGGTCAAGCTTTATGAATATGGTATGACACATTTGATGATAATGGTTTGAATCTGCAGGAGCCGAGATTTGTGGGACAGCCTCAGTCCAGGAGACACTAATATCGTATGTCTCCCATTAGGACCATCCACTGAGCCCACTCAGGTGATCACAACTGCTGATTTTAATACAGGCTGATTTAAACAAACCATAATAAAAACGACAGGTATTTTCTAATAAACAGTACACCATCCACTGTTTTCTAACATGTAATAATAATAAGAATCTTAGGCCAACTCTCCACATTACAAGATTTGAGCAATTAACTGGAGACCAGCTACGTGTGCAAAGTAGCTATAACACCATAAAAAGCACCAGCCAGCTATAAAGTTAGACCTTGAAAATGTGTACTAACTTTATAGCTGGTTGCTATTGAGCTTTAATGTGCATGTGCAGCTGGGAGTCTTGTCAGCTGATGGGGCTCCCAATCACATCTGGGGTGCACCATACCCAGAGTAAAAACCCAAGGCCTAGGGAGTGATCCTCTGGCAAGACACTCCCAAGGTCAGGGAGCTCACCACAGTGGTGATCCTCCAGCATCACGGGTGTGTGCCCCCGTGGCTGGAAGCCCACCAACTGTTGCATGGCAGGAGGTGTGATTGTGTGAATTGTGCATTAGATCCCATCGTGCCTTTAGCTTCACGTATAGAGGGAATCTTATATTAAGCTATGTAACTGCTTAAATAAAGGCAGTGTTATACTGTACTCCTAGCTAGCAAAATAAATAACTAAATAATAAAGTATTAGTGATAAAGCCCTATGCAGATGCAAATTGGTAGACTTTAATGGTAGTATCCTCCAGTGAAAATGTACCTTTCTATAGATTTAAAATTGATTAAGATAGAGGTGTCAAACGTCTGGCCCCATGGGCTGGCTGAATGGGGTGGGGCTGGCGCATAGGCCAGATGAATGGTGCATGGCTGACCCTGCAGGCCGGATCTGGCCCATGGATGCCCCCTGCCCTCCCCCCCCCCCCCCCCCGCCCCCACAT